GGTGTGGCTTGCTTCCAATATATACGGAATGTCCCAGGCACTGTCCCAGGTGACACCTCATACACCCAGCTAAGGTGGGTTAATCTCATTAGATGGAGGTAAAAGGGCTGGAGTTTAGGTCATTATATATATATTTTTTAATTATTTAACCTCTTTATCACCAAACTTATCTCACTCTGTGAAAACTGTTGTGCCCCTCATTAATGACATGCAAGCCAAGACTAATGCTGTTGAATGAGGAATGTGGTAGAAAGCATTCTTGAATAAGTGGGAGCTTATGACAGATGAGCTGTCAGGGCCTTTCCAATTCAAATTTCTTCTGAATATAATTTCCTCTCTTGAAGAAACTTATTATCAATTTATTCCCATATGACTACTTAATTTTCTTTTTCTATGCAATTTATAAAGCCCATTCTTTTTACGTGTAAAACCAGAAAGCAATTTAGTCATTACTTCAATTGGTTCGAGCAGGGGTAATCCTATATAGGAATCCTGGTTCATGTTTTACTGGGGAATAACAAATGTCTTGGTTCATGGAAATTCAAAGATGATTATAAAAAGCATTTAAGCATTTGTCAGACTTTGTTTAATTTTGCTAGCTGTTAATGGTGAGTGAAATGACAAGCAGAAAAAAAAGAATAAAATGTCATTATATTGCAAATTTAAACAATGAGTTCTTAAATATTTGAGTATGCTATTATTATGTTTACTATTACCCTTTGTAGTTTAATGTGCTCCTTAATTATGTGCCTTAAATATGTGTCTTTATTTTCCAGATAATAAACTAGCATTTTTTTAAAAATATATTTATTTAACATACCAAATTCTAAGTTTTGATATTCATTTGTATGTTCAAAAGTGTGTTGAGTTTCTTTGATAAGAATATAAGCACTGTTGGACATCATTGAGTATAGCAGTGGGAAATGACAGGATTAGAGAGCTTTTATTCCTCTATAAGAACATGCATGATTTCCTTTCGGTGAATCATCAGTATGTATTTTCTTCTTTATCTTCTGATCCTGTCCTCCTCAACTACTTCCTATTGACACCCTGCTGCTTTTTCTCCCCCTTCCCTTCCCCACAACTCATGCCAGAGACTGAAAGAGAGTGCTTAATTTTCGAGTGCTTCCATGAAGGGGGGATAAATTATGAATATGGAGAGTTTTCATTCTTGAAATGATTACTACATATGATAAACTTTAGAGAGGAAATAGTACATAAAGAAAAGATACAGCATGGTATGTATGAGCTGAAAATTGGGCTAGAAATAGAGAGAAGGGATTGAGTAATCAGTCAAAATGAGTCAAGATTTCTAGCTTGAGCTTTAAGAAGGAAGGTTGTACTTGAAGTACAGGTCTTGAAGAAGGCTAGGATTTTTAGGCAGGGTAAAGAACAAAAACCAGGAGCAAAAGCAGGGAAATGGAGAAGTGAAGGTATTTTTGGGGAATACTAAGCAGTCTATTTAGTAGCACTGTTCAAAAGGGCAAAAATTAAAGGTAACGAAAAGTAAGTTTCGGGCTACATTATAAACAACCTTAGTGATCAGAGTGAAAAGTTTGTAATCAGCTTGGGTAGGGATGGGCTCCTACCTTTTTCTTCTCAGGACATTGGTCTTTTTCACTAACTCTTCCATGTATAAATCCTGTTTCTCCCCTATGGGATAAGATCCCTGGTCATATTTATTTTGATTTATAGTGCTAACATGAAACAGATTCTAGATTTATTTAATGTATTTTTTGTTGACTGCAGATAAATCACTGAGACCATGTAGTTCCTTTTCTATTTACATGAATAACTTATTTTAGAAGGATCAGCACAAAGCTGGTTCCTATGAGGTGGAGGTTAAAGATGTTCCAAGTGTCCAACTTTACCAAACTGCTGTACTACTCCATTATCTCTACTATCAACTATTCCTCCTCCCCTAAGTACTCTCTCTCTAATCTGTAATTGCATTCTGTAATTCATTGCAACATCTCACGGAACTCACAAACTGACGAAGAGATGGCTTACATGGTTGCGGAGGCTGGCAAGTCCCAAATCCGTGGGTCAGGGGTAATCTGGAGGATTATCCTAACTGATATTATTGAAGGGACTGACAAACCCAAATTAGTAGGTCAGACAACAGGCTGCGGGCTCACAGGGCTGTAGAAGCTGGCAAATCAAGTCAGATGATAGGCTTCTGGCTGAAGTTTGAAGAACCAGAGATTAGATGATTATGAGCCAGATGTGTGATCCAGAGCAAGGGAGAGAACTTTGCCAGAGTATTTACATGTAGTGCATGGAGACCATGTTGTTGTTGTTGTTGTTGTTTGCCCTCGAGTCGGCCCCGACTCATAGCAGCCTCAATGAAACTACTAAGGGTGGTGACTTGAGTCACATCCTCTAATAAGGTGGTGACTGAAGATATATCCCACCTCATTAACATAACAGACAACTTACCCCAAATGGGACTACAACAAATCACAAAATGGAGGAGGACTATGGCTAAAAGGGCCATAGTAAGTAATTCATTGCACTGCAATATTATATGTTTTGTTGTTAGGTGCCATAGAGTGGGTTCTGACTCATAATGAGCTTATGTGCAACAGAATGAAACACTGCCTGGTCCTGTGTCATCCTCAGAGTCCATGCTATGTTAGAACCCATTGTTGTAGCCACTGTGTCAATATATCTCATTGAGGATCTTCCTTTTTCTCTCTGATCCTCTACTTCACCAAGCATGATGTCTTTCTTCAGGAATTGTCCCTCCAGATAACATGCTCAATATACATGTACTGATACATATTTATGGTTGTTGTTGTTGTTGTTATGTGCCATCGAGTTGGACCCGACTCATAGCGACCCCTCTTTGGGTTTCCGAGGCAGTGTCACTACGGAAGTAGATTGCCCGATCTTCCTTCCGAGGAGTGGCTGGTGGATTTGAACCGTCAGCCTTCTGGTTAGCAGTCAAGTGCCTTAGCCACTACACTACCACAGCTCCCATATTTATGGTACTAATATATTATTATAATGAACAAATCTATTTTGGAAGTACAACCCGAATATTCCTTAGAAGAGAGGATGGTAAGACTCCGTCTCTGGTACTTTGGTCATATTATCAGGGGGACCATTCCCTGGAGAAGGATATCATGTTTGGTAAAGTCAAAGGATCAGAGAAAAAGAGGAAGACCCTCAACAAGATGGATTGTCATAGTGGCTGCAACAATGAGCCCAAACATTGCAACAATTGTGAGATTAGACTAGTGCTGGACCGGACAGTGTTCCGTTCTATTGTACATAGAGTCACTATGAGTCTGAACCGACTCAATGGCATCTAGCCACAATATTATTAATAATGTACTGTTAATCTAATAATAAATATTACAAAAGTTTGTTTCATGCATTTCGTATTTATGGTATTAGTGTGCATATGATTTCAGTAAGTTGAGTTGGTTTAAGAAAGAGTGTATTTGTTTAAATCATGTAAAAACTGCCTCCTTTAGGGATATTTCAAGTTCACCAAAAAATTAACATGTAGCTAAATGAGGATTCACTTTTTCAAATACTATTTCTGCAACAGACTCTTGTAAATGAATTTCCTCTTATTTTCTTTCCCTTTTACAGCTGAGGAAACCAGGCTCAGTGTAGTCACACCAAACCAAAGCCAAACTCACTGAAGTCGAGTCGGATCCGACTCATAGTGACCTCTCCTTGGGTTTACGAGAAGGTATACTCCAGAAGTAGATTGCTCAATCTTCCTTTCGAGGAGTGGCTGGTGGGTTTGAACCGCCAGCCTACTGGTTAGCAATCAAATGCCTTAGGCACTAGGCCACCAGACCTCCTATAAAGTCACACAGTTACTGGCAACGCCAGGGCTAAAACTCAGTTATCTAATACCTATCTACCTACCACACCACTCTTTATTTTACCTGAAATGAGTGACAAATATATATTTAAAGGCCACTACACATTTAAATTAAAATAAAACAGATACAAAAAAACCTAAGTTCATAGAGCACTTGGAAATGCATTAATCAAGTTCTCTGACTTATAGACAGTGTACTTTTTGTTAACGGTGTTACTTTAGCAGACATAGTTTTTAGCAAAGCAATGAACTTGTTACTACAAGTGGTATCTCCAAGTTCTTCCTAACAAAAGTTATGGGAACTTTTGTGGCAGCAGTGGGAACAATAGAAGGACATTCTTTACAATAAGAACATTTCCTCTCCTTTTCATGGCCACCTAATCTTAGTTTATAATCACCCCTATAACAATTTGGTCCTTGGGACTATTTTGGAGAATCAAGGTCCTAGAGCTTTCAGGCCCATAAGTAGTTCTGCAATGTAACAGCAGTATATCCTATGTTGAGGATGTATTTCTCAACCTAAAATATGATGAAGCCCACCAACAATAAATGCTAGTACCCTCTGTATTAGCAAGCATTGAGGGCTGTGGGGCAAGTATACTTGTTTCCCTATCTTTAACTGTGACCTCTAGGCAAGAAGGTGGTCTGATTTAACCCCATCACGGGCACATTACTAGGCACATGATACGTGCCCACGGCTAGTCGAAGAAAAGTAAGAACATTTCTGGCTTCCAAGGGATGGAAAAGTAGCATGCCTGAAACTGAGTGTTTTGAATTCTAGCCAGCGTTCTCACTTTGAGGCGAAGGTCACTCCACTCCTCTGCTAAATTCCGGGTTTCTTTTCCATCCAAGGTTCCCAGAATAGGCCAAAGATGAAAGAGAAACGAAGCACAAAATCAGGCCACGGGATGTCTGCTATTCATTTGCGAGGCCTAAGAGGCAGAAAAAAATTTACTGTGTTCTGCTCTTTGTCCTTCTCTAGACCCGTCTCAGCCTCCAGGGCCGCGCTGCTCCATGACGAGCTGACACGGGAGAGGAGATGATGGAACTTTTGCAGCGGAACCATAAACCGAGGGAGCAGCGCGGAGCAGGAGAAGAAAGAGCAAGGGACAAGCAGGCCGAGCTCCGCGGTGGTGGCGGTGGCGGCAGCGTGGGAATGGAGCCCTTGCGGGTCCTGGAGTTATACAGCGGCATAGGAGGCATGCACCAAGCTCTGAGAGGTAGTAGTGCACCTTGGCGCCTCTAATGTCTTTTTCTTTTCTTCCTTTTTTTGTTCCCAGGCAGTTGTCGGACTTCGGGCGCCTGTGAGGGGCGGAGCGGCGAGGCGCTGGGGGCGGAGACGGTGTAGGGTCAAGGGTGGTGGTGTATCGGTTGACTTGGAAACCACGGTAAAGTTAGCTCAAGGCGTCCTGAACCTGGTCAGAAAGGCGGGAGGCTCAGTTTGTGAGAACTGATTCTTCGGTTTGTGTGGTGTAAAGTCAAATCCCACTCATAGCGACCCCTCCTTGGGTTTCCGAGGCGGTACCACTACGGAAGTAGATTGCCCAACCTTTCTTCCGAGGAGTTTGAACCATCAGGCATCTGGTTAGCAGTCAAATGCCTTAGGCACTAGGCTACCAGAGCTCCCAACAATTCAACAATTCAAGAAAGGAGGCATAGAGGAAAATCCTGGTTAATTTTGATTATTGGGAAAAACAAACAAACCAACAAACAAAAAGCCACCATCTCTTCTATTTAGGCGCCAGAAGAATTGAGTTCAAATTGGATTCAGCCACTTAGTGGTAGGGTTACCTTGGGCTAGTTCCTTAACGTTTCTGAACCAGTTTTTTAGTTTTAAAAAGTGAAACTTGCAGGGAAGGATTATTGCAAGGATTAAGACGTGTGTTAGTAATCTAGTGCTGTAACAGAAATGCCACAAATCGGTGGCTTTAAAGAATAGAAATTTATTTTCTCACATTTTAGAAGACTGTAAGTCTAGGACGCCTGTTTGGTACAGAGGGAGTCCTGGTGATGCAATGGTTAAGTGCTTTGTTGCTAAAGGGGAAGTTGGTGGTAGGAACCCACCAGCCACTCTGCAAGAGAATGATGCAGGCTTGGAAAGATTACAGCCTTAGAAACTTCTACTCCGTCTCATAGTGTCTCTGTAAGAATCAACTTGATTCTTTTGTTTGTTTTAAGGGAAGGCGCTGTCTTCTTGTTTTGGAGAAAATCCTTGCCTTTTTCAGCTTTTCTTCATAAATTACTTAGTGACTGCCACATGACATCAGTCTTTCCCCATTTGTGCTGTCTTGTTGCTGTGCCTAATCTTTTTTTAATCTTAAAATTGATCTTAAAACACCCTACACTGCTATGGTCTCATTAAGGTAACAGAGAAAACCCTATTCCCAAGTGGTGTAGGGGATAGGGTTTACAACACATTTTTTTTGGGGGGGGAAGTGCTCTGGTGGTGTAGCAGTTAAAGCCATTTGGTTGCTAACCAGAAGGTCCATGATTCAAACCCACTGAAACCACCATCTAGTCAGCAGGAGAAAGGTGAAGCACTCTGCTTCCGTAAAGATTTACAGCCTTGCAAACTCTGTGGGGCAGTTCTGTAGTGACCTGTAGTGTCTATGAGTTGTAATTGAGTTGATGGCAGTGGGTTTGGTGTTTTCTGGTTTATTTTGGGAGGGACACAGTTCAATCCATAATAAACTCACTGCTGTCGAGTCGGATCTGACTCATAGCGACCCCTCCTTGGGTTTCCAAGGCAGTATCACTATGGAAGTAGATTGCCCAACCTTCCTTTCGAGGAGTTGCTGGTGGGTTTGAACCGCTAGCCTTCTATGAGTCCATAATAGGGTGCAGTAAAAACCAACTGCAGTTAGAGTCGCTTCTGACTCATGGCAACGTCATGTGTGTTGTTGTTTTCTATTATAATCTATAATATTTTCTTTTGAAAACCTCATGGATAACAACAGAACAAAACACTACAGTCATTATTTTCACTATTAGTTTTTAATGTATGTCTTACTTCTCTAAACCAAACCCAGCCCACTGCCATTGAGTGGATTGCAACTCATAACGACTGTGGTAGTTAAGGTTGTGTGGTAGTTAAGGTGGTTATTTTGAGTGGCTTGGCAGCTGGTGGTAGCTGTTCCCCATGATGAGATTGGACGTGATATAATCACCTCCATGGTGCAATCTGCTGTGAACTGTTAATCATTTGAAGGGGAGTTGCCTTCTGGATGTGGCCTGCCTCTAGTATATATGGAAGGAATCCTGCATTTGGTTTGTGAGTCTTCATCTCCATTTCTGGACTTGAACCAGTGGTCTACTGATCTTGAGATTGTTGCCTATACAGCTTGTGAGCCAACAATCTGCCGTTTTACCTACAAATCTTGGACTTATCAGCCTCAGCATCCAGCAGCTGTGTGAGTCAGAAGACACTTCTAACTTGTACCCGTGGGCCTGAAACAAAAGGCAGAGCTGAAGGCCAAGGTCGAGGGGCTTTCACCCAGCCTCAAGAACCAGCATTCTGCACTCGGACTTCTACCCTCCTAAACTGTAAAGCTATCAACTTGGGGTATTTCTATTAAAGCAGCATGAGAGAACCGAGACAGCAACTCTATAGGACAGAGTAGAACTGCCCCATAGCTTCCAAGGTTATAAATCTTTACAAAAGCAGATTGCTTCATCTTTTTCCTGAGGAGTGGCTGGTGAGTTCAAGCCACCAACCTTTTGGTTAGCCATCTAATACTTTAACCACTGTGCCACCAGAGCTCTGCAGTAAAAGAAATACAACGAATGGATGGCTTTAACAAACAAATTTATTTTCTTGCAGTTTAGGCAGCTAGAAGTCTGAATTAGGGCCTGTGGTAGTTCAGTTGCTGTCAGTTTGTGTGGGCCTGGTTGAGTGGCTGGGCAGCTGGATGTAGTATTCACCATGATGAGACTGGTAATCAATCCATAGTGTAATCAACTGTGAGCAGCTGCGTAGCTGCCTTAGGGAATGTGGTCTGCTTCCTGTATATAAGCAGAAGCCTTGAGGAATGGTCTTTAGCTTATTTCAGGCTTGGACCCTGCAGGTAGCCGTGTCGTCATTCAGCAGCCTGCCATGCTCTGCCGACCTTGGGACTTACAATGGACTTGAATTAATGGCCTGCCATGTGGTTTGGTAACATCAGGACTGTGCCATTTTGTTTGTCAACCTTGGGCTTGTAAGCCTCAGCAGCCACTAGCTGCCTGAGTGTAGAGATGCCTCTAGCTTCAGTGGGCTGGGAGCAAGAGGCAGAGCTGAAGCCCAAGGTTGAGGGGCTTTCACACAGCCCCTAGAGTGTGGCCCTTTGAACTTGGATTTAAAGCCTCCAAATTGTGAGAGAATAAACTCCTGTTTGTTAAGGCCATCCCATTTGTGGTATATTCTTGTTGGAGTGACACTAGGTAACCAGAATAGGGCGCTAGCTCTAGGGGAAGGCTTTCTCCCTCTGTCGACTCTGAGGGCAGGTCCTTGTCTCCTTTCAACATCTGTGGACTTGGCATCCCTTGGAGATTTCCATGTTTCTTGGCATCATTCTTCCCCTAGGTCTAGAAGATTCACAGTGTAGGACACTGGGTCCAAAGGACATGCTCCACTCCCAGCTCTTCTTTCTTGTTAATATTGTGGTCTCTCTAATTCTGCTGCCTTGTTTCATCTCTTTCATATCTCAGAAGAGATTGACTCAAGATACAACCTAATCCTATAGATTGCATCCTGCCTCATTAACATCATAGAGATTAGGATTTACAACACACAGGATAATTAGATCACAAGATGGAAGATAATTACATAAAACAGAGAATTGTAGCCTAGCCAAGTTGATACATGTTTTGAGGAACACAATTCAATCTGTAACATTGTACCTCTTCCATTTTGAAGTTTTCCATTTCTTTGATGCTGTAGTGGAAATGAAAATTTTGTTTTTTTGAAATTCATTGAAAAATATTTATTGAGCTGAGCTCCTGTGCTAGTAGACTTTGAATGTGCATGTTTATTTGTTCACTCTTCTATTACTAAGACAACTACAAACCACTGCTGCTTTTTTTCTAGTACAAAGAGTAACTTTAGCTTGGCTCAGGCTGCTTGGCTGGGCTTTGGGGCTGGCTTTCTTTTAAGGCTGGGCCCTGGAAGAGGTAGGTGTATGGCTAGGGGCTGCTTGGCTGGGCTTTGGGGCCGGCTTTATTTTAATGCTGGGCCCCAGAGAGGTGGGCACAGAGCGGTTAGAAACAACTAAGTGAGGTGAACTTGTCTGTCAGTTTGTCATCCTGTGGTGGTTTACATGTTGCTGTGAGGCTGGAGACTATGCCACCGGTGTTATAAAATGCCAGCACGGTTACCCATGGTGGTGAAAACCCATGGTCAGTGAAAACCTTAGGAATAGCAGTGGAACACTGTCTGATATATTACTGGAAAACTTTGTGAATAGCCCTGAAACGTTGTCCGATATAGTGCCGGAAGATGAGCTCATCAGATTGGAAGGCACTCAAAATGTGACTGAGGAAGAGCTGACTCCTCAAAGTAGAGATGACCTTAATGACATGGATGGAGTAAAGCTTTTGGACCTCCATTGGCTGATGTGGCATGACTCAAAATAAGTAGAAACAGATACAAACATCCATTAGTAATCGGAACATGGAATGCATGAAGGATAAATCTAGGAAAATTGGAAGTTGTCAAAGATGAAAGGCAGTGCATAAAGATCAATATCCTAGGGATTAGTGAGCTGAAATGGACTGGTTTTGGCCATTTTGAATCAGACAACCGTATGATATACTATGCCGGAAATGAAAAAAATTGAAGACAAATGGTGTGGCATTCATTGTCACAAAGACTGTTTCAAGATCTATCCTGAAGTACAATGCTGTCAGTGATAGGATAATATCCATACACCTGCAAGGAAGACCAGTTAATACTACTAATATTCAAATCTATGCACCAACCACCAAACCCAAAGATGAGGAAACTGAAGATTTCTACCAACTTCAGCAGTCTGAAATTGTCCAAACATGCAAAGACCTGGAGTTAGAAAACCAAAAGGGAAGAACACACTTGGCATTTCTCAATCTGAAAAGACTGAGGAAAAAATTTAAGCCTCGAGTTGGAATATTGAAAGATCCTGTAGGCAAAATATTGAATGATGCAGGGAACATCAAAAGAAAATGGAAGAAATACACAGAGTCACTGTACCAAAAAGAACTGGTCAAT